CATGATGGGCGCTAATGGATTGCAGTAAGGTCGAGTTTGCTCAAAGTAGAAAGACACGAGCCCCTTCCCAGTCCATTTCCACTTCTCAGAGTCCTTCTTTGTGCTCTAGGATCTGGCAACATAAAATCCGTCAATTTGAAGTTTGTGCTTGTTTAGCCCCAGTCAATTCCGAGGGTAGGGCGACGGAAGGCCAAACAAGTATATAATGAGTTCAAATTTACAACCATAATTACCACCTCACATGTTCAACTTGGCAATCGCAGTTCGATAAGGTCAGTTCTTCGAGGGATGGCGCGAAGGGCAGAATTGGTTCCGTAGCTCCCGCACCATGAATCTTGAGGGATTTTAGGTTAGGAGTTGGGCGAGATAGTGCCCTAATCCACACAGGCTGGGCTGAAAAAGGTATGTAGTCAATCGATATCTTGCGCCATCGGTCGACTAGAGAACCATCCTCTCCAACAAGTTGGTGTGAAAGTCTCAAAGCCATACTTGTATCGAATCCTTGTGGGTCTGAGAAGACAATAGCGGAAAACTCCAGCTCACCGGGCCCATCTTCCCCACAAAGCTCGATACGTTTTGATGTACATGAGCACCAAAATTTTATATCTTTATTTGATAAAAACTTCATCGGGAACTTGGTCCATAGTCGCCTATGTTGACGGGCTGCGAGAGACCAGTACTTGCAGACGCCAAGTAGCTTTTCGAGAGGATCTTGGCGTCCATCTGTCTCGGCATAGAAGTCAAATACTACCCATAGGATGTCTCGAGATATTTTATCGTTGAGCATTTCGGGTTCCCGTCCTATTTGTACAGCGCTCATGTTGAGAAAGTCTACCATAATCGGGGTGGTGGCATTAGAAATTGATCATATAGGACAGAGATATCGTGAATAAAGTCATAAGGATATATTTACCTACCACGTATAGCTATCTATATGAAGTTTAGGATAGACTTGTCATTGCAGGGTCTAAGGTATTGGTGGGCGCTAAGGAGCTCGAAGCCGAGTACGACTGTAACGGCTATTAAGGTACGTTCTATCGTATAGGAGATTTACCAATGATACCAATCTATTACTTACAGAGAGAAGTCGGCATGGAAAGAAAGCTTAATAGGGGAACTTCCATCAAGACCAGGTGTGTACCAATGCAATATCTTGTGGTCCGTACTATTGTCTGAACATTGATCTAGGCTCATGGTGAATCTAACTTGTAGATTTGGCCCGTTCTTACCGTTGTCCCTGCATGGGAGCCAGTCTTTGAATTGCGTTGAAATAAACCATCGACTCAGTTATGATGAATTGACCGTTACAAATATCGCCTTTTATTTTCATACATAACTTTCTAGAATCGATTAGAAATTAAAACCTGGCAAAGCTATCAATAAGCCCAGCCCAAGTATCATCTTGGGGTACATTGGCTGATAGTCGCACACGAAGAATGTCCTCTTCCGTAGCGTCCGGAGGAATAGAAAATGTTTCGTCTATGAATCGATTCCCATAGCCGTGCTGAAGTAATTGAATTGGGCAGCCACGACATTCAATGGTAGGGTTTATTTTGTCTTGAATGCAGAGTAAGAAAACCCTTAGTGCTTTCAGATTTAGCGCACGGAGTCGCTTGATTCCTGTCGCCATTCTGAATATGTCCTTTATGCTCTTCATAATTAGAACAGCTTCAGATTTCGAATATAACTCGCAGCCATAGCCTAGAATCTCCAATTGTTGAAAGTCAATTCCATCACAACCTCTCAGCGCTGCTATACTTTCTTCTGTACGGAGGTATATGGTAAGGGACCGCAGTCGTGGAGCTGAAAATTGCTCAATAGCTGAAGCATGAATCCCTGCAGTGAAGGAAACCGCTTCCAGAGCAAGAAAGCTGCGTGAAAGGATAATATTCCTTCCACAATTGAGGAGTGATAATGTAGTGAGGCTTTTGGCTGTTAATGTTGTAGATATATTTGGGATGCATAGAGAATTTCCGCGAAGTTCCAGTGTTTTCAGCCGTCTAAAATCGTTTCCGAGTGTGCAAGCACAATTTATGATGATTAGCTCTTCAAGAGAAGGCGCACAAGGTAGAATGTGAGCCTCATGGTTTAGGTCACGGATTTTAAGGGAGCGTAGATTGGGAGTTGGATGAGATAGAGCCTCGGTCCATGCTCTTTGCACTGAGGAGGGTATGTATTCAACTGAAATCCGGGACCATTGGTTGATTAGAGATCCATTATGCCCAATAAGCATGTTGAAGAGCTTTAAGATATTCTCTTCAAACACTCTTATATTTAGATTTGTCGCGAGAAGATGATAATTAAATTCCAGTTCGGCAGGTCCCTCTTTTCCGCAAAGTTTGATACGATTTGATGCGCGTGAGAACCAAAACTGACAATCCTTTGGTGTTGTGATATTGATCGGAAACTTGGTCCATAGTCGCCTGTGTTGACGTGCCGCGAGGTACCAATACTTGCAAACGTAAAATAGCTTTTCCAGAGGGTCTCGTGGACCATCTGTCCCGGCGTAGAAGTCAAATATTGTCCATAGAATGTCTTGCGATAGCCGATCAATGACAGGTTCAGGTTTCTCCTCTGTTTGCATGGCGCTCATGTTGAGAGAGGTCTGCCATCAGCACAAATGCGTGAGAATTTGACTCCTCAAGATAGAATGAAATATAGAGAATGGTTTATAGCTAATGTAGTTTGCTTACCATGTTTGTTTTATAATAACTTCTAGGAGGGACTTGTCGTGGCAGGGTTCAAGTTCATGATGGGCGCTAATGGATTGCAGTAAGGTCGAGTTTGCTCAAAGTAGAAAGACACGAGCCCCTTCCCAGTCCATTTCCACTTCTCAGAGTCCTTCTTTGTGCTCTAGGATCTGGCAACATAAAATCCGTCAATTTGAAGTTTGTGCTTGTTTAGCCCCAGTCAATTCCGAGGGTAGGGCGACGGAAGGCCAAACAAGTATATAATGAGTTCAAATTTACAACCATAATTACCACCTCACATGTTCAACTTGGCTTCACCGCAAATAAAGAGCCCTCAGTTAAAGCATAGCATCCAGTGACCGCGTTGGAATCTGCCAAAGATATCAACGTTCCATGTAACCAAAGATCCGTGACAAGTACATTATTTTATTTGTTATCAAAGGCATTGGAATCGAAAGGAAATTATTGATACAGGAATGAAGGCCAAGGGCACGACGCACTAGTTTGCAATGCTACTAGCCCCATGTTACTCGTAGCTTTGCACTGTCTGCGTACAGCAGCCCTTATTTTGCATGACAGAATTACTATGGAGTATTTCACTGAACTTCAAATGGAGAGCTGGACAAGGTGGCAGAAATAGCACCCCACGAGTCTTTCAAGGGCAATCGTACAGCCTGACGGATGTGAGGTGGTAATTATGGTTGTAAATTTGAACTCATTATATACTTGTTTGGCCTTCCGTCGCCCTACCCTCGGAATTGACTGGGGCTAAACAAGCACAAACTTCAAATTGACGGATTTTATGTTGCCAGATCCTAGAGCACAAAGAAGGACTCTGAGAAGTGGAAATGGACTGGGAAGGGGCTCGTGTCTTTCTACTTTGAGCAAACTCGACCTTACTGCAATCCATTAGCGCCCATCATGAACTTGAACCCTGCCACGACAAGTCCCTCCTAGAAGTTATTATAAAACAAACATGGTAAGCAAACTACATTAGCTATAAACCATTCTCTATATTTCATTCTATCTTGAGGAGTCAAATTCTCACGCATTTGTGCTGATGGCAGACCTCTCTCAACATGAGCGCCATGCAAACAGAGGAGAAACCTGAACCTGTCATTGATCGGCTATCGCAAGACATTCTATGGACAATATTTGACTTCTACGCCGGGACAGATGGTCCACGAGACCCTCTGGAAAAGCTATTTTACGTTTGCAAGTATTGGTACCTCGCGGCACGTCAACACAGGCGACTATGGACCAAGTTTCCGATCAATATCACAACACCAAAGGATTGTCAGTTTTGGTTCTCACGCGCATCAAATCGTATCAAACTTTGCGGAAAAGAGGGACCTGCCGAACTGGAATTTAATTATCATCTTCTCGCGACAAATCTAAATATAAGAGTGTTTGAAGAGAATATCTTAAAGCTCTTCAACATGCTTATTGGGCATAATGGATCTCTAATCAACCAATGGTCCCGGATTTCAGTTGAATACATACCCTCCTCAGTGCAAAGAGCATGGACCGAGGCTCTATCTCATCCAACTCCCAATCTACGCTCCCTTAAAATCCGTGACCTAAACCATGAGGCTCACATTCTACCTTGTGCGCCTTCTCTTGAAGAGCTAATCATCATAAATTGTGCTTGCACACTCGGAAACGATTTTAGACGGCTGAAAACACTGGAACTTCGCGGAAATTCTCTATGCATCCCAAATATATCTACAACATTAACAGCCAAAAGCCTCACTACATTATCACTCCTCAATTGTGGAAGGAATATTATCCTTTCACGCAGCTTTCTTGCTCTGGAAGCGGTTTCCTTCACTGCAGGGATTCATGCTTCAGCTATTGAGCAATTTTCAGCTCCACGACTGCGGTCCCTTACCATATACCTCCGTACAGAAGAAAGTATAGCAGCGCTGAGAGGTTGTGATGGAATTGACTTTCAACAATTGGAGATTCTAGGCTATGGCTGCGAGTTATATTCGAAATCTGAAGCTGTTCTAATTATGAAGAGCATAAAGGACATATTCAGAATGGCGACAGGAATCAAGCGACTCCGTGCGCTAAATCTGAAAGCACTAAGGGTTTTCTTACTCTGCATTCAAGACAAAATAAACCCTACCATTGAATGTCGTGGCTGCCCAATTCAATTACTTCAGCACGGCTATGGGAATCGATTCATAGACGAAACATTTTCTATTCCTCCGGACGCTACGGAAGAGGACATTCTTCGTGTGCGACTATCAGCCAATGTACCCCAAGATGATACTTGGGCTGGGCTTATTGATAGCTTTGCCAGGTTTTAATTTCTAATCGATTCTAGAAAGTTATGTATGAAAATAAAAGGCGATATTTGTAACGGTCAATTCATCATAACTGAGTCGATGGTTTATTTCAACGCAATTCAAAGACTGGCTCCCATGCAGGGACAACGGTAAGAACGGGCCAAATCTACAAGTTAGATTCACCATGAGCCTAGATCAATGTTCAGACAATAGTACGGACCACAAGATATTGCATTGGTACACACCTGGTCTTGATGGAAGTTCCCCTATTAAGCTTTCTTTCCATGCCGACTTCTCTCTGTAAGTAATAGATTGGTATCATTGGTAAATCTCCTATACGATAGAACGTACCTTAATAGCCGTTACAGTCGTACTCGGCTTCGAGCTCCTTAGCGCCCACCAATACCTTAGACCCTGCAATGACAAGTCTATCCTAAACTTCATATAGATAGCTATACGTGGTAGGTAAATATATCCTTATGACTTTATTCACGATATCTCTGTCCTATATGATCAATTTCTAATGCCACCACCCCGATTATGGTAGACTTTCTCAACATGAGCGCTGTACAAATAGGACGGGAACCCGAAATGCTCAACGATAAAATATCTCGAGACATCCTATGGGTAGTATTTGACTTCTATGCCGAGACAGATGGACGCCAAGATCCTCTCGAAAAGCTACTTGGCGTCTGCAAGTACTGGTCTCTCGCAGCCCGTCAACATAGGCGACTATGGACCAAGTTCCCGATGAAGTTTTTATCAAATAAAGATATAAAATTTTGGTGCTCATGTACATCAAAACGTATCGAGCTTTGTGGGGAAGATGGGCCCGGTGAGCTGGAGTTTTCCGCTATTGTCTTCTCAGACCCACAAGGATTCGATACAAGTATGGCTTTGAGACTTTCACACCAACTTGTTGGAGAGGATGGTTCTCTAGTCGACCGATGGCGCAAGATATCGATTGACTACATACCTTTTTCAGCCCAGCCTGTGTGGATTAGGGCACTATCTCGCCCAACTCCTAACCTAAAATCCCTCAAGATTCATGGTGCGGGAGCTACGGAACCAATTCTGCCCTTCGCGCCATCCCTCGAAGAACTGACCTTATCGAACTGCGATTGCCAAGTTGAACATGTGAGGTGGTAATTATGGTTGTAAATTTGAACTCATTATATACTTGTTTGGCCTTCCGTCGCCCTACCCTCGGAATTGACTGGGGCTAAACAAGCACAAACTTCAAATTGACGGATTTTATGTTGCCAGATCCTAGAGCACAAAGAAGGACTCTGAGAAGTGGAAATGGACTGGGAAGGGGCTCGTGTCTTTCTACTTTGAGCAAACTCGACCTTACTGCAATCCATTAGCGCCCATCATG